GCTTACACACACCTGGTCTGAGTTATATGTTTTGTTTTGTTTTTGTAACATCTGAAGAAAATAAGATATAGGAGCATTGTTATTTATTTTTATTCCAATTTCATCTCCACTATTTTTCTGTACTTGTTGAGTCACACTTGCGTGTGGGGATTTGGGGGCCAGACTCAGCAGGTGAGGCCAGGAACTGGGAGTACATCTAGTTTGAAGGAAGTCACAGATAGACAGATGTTTCATAGTCTTCTCTGTGTGGGTTAGGTAGTTGCTAGTCTGCCCTAGGTAGGACAAGTTTTGGAAGTAACTCTACAGCTCACTCTACTGGTGAGTGGGCACTGTGATGTAGAACTTTAGCTGTGTGCTCAGAATTGTCCGCGCATGTCTTGCAGTGCCCGTCACTGAAAGTATGTGACTGTGGTGCAGAAAAGATGAAAAGGTCTTGAAGCTAGTAGCTTGTCTCTGGAAAAGTCTTCCTATCATTTCAGCTCCTGTAGAAAAGTAACACCATAGATCTCCCTAAATGTTTGTGTGTCGGGGTTGGTTATACATCTGTGTATTTATTCGTGCATGCAGAGGTCAGGGTTGCCTCAAGTGTCTTTCCGAATTATTCTCCACCTCATTTTTGAAGACAGTCTCTTGCAGAACCTGAAACTCACCACTTTGGCTAGGCTAGCTCACCAGGGTGTGACAGGGACCCTCCTGCTTCCATTTCCCAGCAATGAGACTATAGGTGCTTACCATCATGTTCAGTCTTAGGTGAACGCTGGGATCTAAACTCAGGATCTCAGGTTTGTACAGTAAGCACTTTACTGACTGAGCCAACTGCCGCACCTCTTCCCAGATCTGAAGATATCTTTAATGATCCTATGAAACTTTCCCTAAGTGATTTTATGAGAGTCTTATCAACATTAAAGGGTTCTAGAGAGAAGGGGTAATGGTCAAGGGCACCTTGAGACTGCCGGTTCAGCACCCACAGGGCAGCTGACAACCATTCAAACATCCAGTTCCAGGGGACCTGACACCATCTACTTGACTCCTCAAGCAATGTTTGCACATAATGCGCATATTCACATGCTGCTAAAACACCCACACACATAAAATGAGATTTTAAAAATGTAAAAAACAGTGCTAAAGATAAGACCCGAGTTTCTATCTGCACAAAATTTTACATTATTTTTCTATAAAGATATGATCAAAACAGGCAGCCCACAAATATGGAAAGACTGGAATCACTAACTATGTCAAAATGTTAATTAGTAAAAGTATCATGTTTTTATGGATTGTGTGATGTTCATGGCACACTTCAAAAATTATTAACAATTTGTGTCATACTTGTAGATTCTTTTCTTTCACCAGTAGGGTGTGCCAAATTATGTAAGCTTTGGCCCATTAAAAGTCTTGCTTATAACTTTCTCTTGTAAATGAGAAACAAACATTTCTTCCTTTTCCTCTCATTTGACACCGGTCATCACACACCACTCCATAGTTGTTGTGGTCGACCAATGTAGAGATTCACGGTTGAAAAGAAGTGCCTTAAGACTGCTATAGAGGGGCCAGTGAGACGACTCGATTCGGCCAGGGTAAATGTGCCTGTCACCTAACAAGGGAGCATGCGTGAGACTCCCGGGGCCTATATGGTAGAAAGAAAGCTGACAGCCAGTTTGTCCTCTGACCTCCACTCAAGTACTGTAGTGTGCATGTGCACACACACATACACACATGTGCACACATGCACACACATGTACACAAACACACATGCACGCATGCACGCACGCGCGCACACACACACACACACACACACACGGGTAATAAGAAAAATCGTAACAAGGAAAAGGTAGGAGCTGTACTAAGAATCCTACTAATAGGCTTGGCGTGAAGGCTCAGTGGTAAAAGGTCCCGGAGACTTGAGTTTGATCCGTGAAGCCCATGTGATGGAAGAAGAGAACAGATTCCTGCAAATTTTCACTGACCTCTACAAGTGCATACCCACACGGGAACATACAAAATAAAAAAAGAAGTTAGCAAATTTAAAAGAATCATAGAAATGAATTATTAATTTAGCAAACCCTGTTCTATTTACTTTATGTATATGAGTACTCTATCTGCATGTATGCCTGCACACCAGAAGAGGGCGTCAGATCCCACTATAGATGGCTGTGAAGTGAACTCAGGTCCTCTGGAAGAACAGCCGGTGCTATTGACCACTGAGCCATCTCTCCAGCACGAACCCTTTTCTAATGGAGTCAACCTGCGTCAAGCACTAGCATACCCTTCACTGCTACATCGCCCAGTGACCTTATCTTGGTGTCACGCGTTTACCTGTGTCTTCTTGAACACAACATCTAGCCTTGTGGAACCCCAAATTTCTTAGCTGCCAGCTAAGATAGAGTTGACAGTGCTGTTGTGTGGGTGGAGGGAGGGAGCCTCCTTCGCTGCAGAGGGCAGGACCCACACGCGGCTCTTCTGGTCTTTGCTGGCAATTCCTTCTGCACCGTCATCCGTGTCTCCCTGCGAGCCACCAGCAGCTTCTACACTGAGAACACAGCTGGCCAAGAGACATTCAGAGGAAAGCCTCTATAATTAATGTCATATTCACTCAATTTCAAGTCTAGACAATATTTTTCTTAAACAATTGCTTCTGGGGGCCAGTAATAAAAACAGAACAATGTCAGTCATCAGGACTCAAAAGAGGGAGGGTAAATACTGCTGACGGCTCTATAGTGACTTTGATCAGAAATTCCACCCTCTCCTGGGAGACTCGCAGTAAATGATTTCCACACCTCTCCACGGGTGTTGGCCCATGCGATGCATGTCCTGAGTCTCAGTAACAAAAAGCAGGAATGAAAGGACAACAGGGCTTGAAGACCCTTTGGAAGGATCCAGGAGGCTCAGAATATAAGGAGGCAAATACTAACTACACTGCAGAAGACACTGTCCCACCACAGTGGGAGCTGGGGACTCTGGGAATTACTGGCAGCCCAAAATTTCTAACCACAGAGTTTTCCCAGTCAGCATCCCAGGGCCTGTGGATCTCATCTACTTGCTTAAGGTGACTGTGTGAGCAGCCACCTGTTTCCCTGGAGAAGCAGAAGAAAAAGCAAAGGGGATAATCGCTTTCCCTGGCACCAGACCTGTTGAAGGATCATGGCTTGAGAGGATGACATTTCGAAAGAGTTCTATGCAAATAGCACCCCAGCGATAGGGGCAGCTGTTATACAGGTGTTCATAATGTGACATCCTTTCCTCAAATGGAGCAGGAAGACCAGAAACAAGAAATGCAGAGAGGCCAAGAGGTAAGATAGGAGAGTGACAGTGAGCAAGCAGGAGACAGAAGCCCAGGGCCTTGGTGACACACTGAAGGGACACGCTCATTAGTAAATAGACGCGCAGAGGAGCCAGCAGACGGTCTCATTGACCCAGGGACCACTTAGCAAGCACACTGTCCCCAGATCCCAGAGTTTCCATTTTACTTCCAAAGCAGGGTTCTCAGTTAGCAGGGGTCCCATCTCACTGCTGTAGATGACTACGGTTGAATGAGGACAAGGCTTTTAGGAGCCAACAGGAACAACCATATCCAAGCCCTCCCCTGTTCAGAACTGCAATGTCTAACAGACACAGCAAGAAGGTTCAAGTGTCTGCCATCTTCTGGGCATGCGCATTCTCAGCTTATCTGACCGCTCCCCTGTTCAGAATTGCGATGTCTAACATAGTCACAGCAAGAAGGTTCGTGTCTGCCATCTTCTGGGCTTGCTTTCTGTTGCTGTGATAGACACCATGACCAAAAGCAATTTGGGAAGGAGAGGAGATATTTTGGCTTACACTTTCTAGTCCATCAAGACAGTAACCCGGAAGCAGAAACTAAAACAGAGACCATGGAGGAACATTGCTTAATGGCGTACTCCATTTGGCTTGCTCAGTCTGGTTTTTCTTATACAAGCCAGGACAACCTGCCCAGCAAGAGGCACAGTGGGCCTGGCCCTTCCACATCAACTGTTAATCAAGGAAATGCCCCACAAATCTGGGTATGCGCTAGTCTGACAGTGACATTTTCTCAGGTGAAGTTACTCTCCCCAAATTACCCTGCCTTGTGACAAGCTGATGAAAATCTAGCCAAGGCATTCACTCGCTAGGCATCTGTTTCTAGTTCCCTTACGAATCTTCCTATCTAATCAAAAAATCCCATCATGCACAGGGAGTGCCCTCAGCTAAGCACAAAAAGGAATCTGACTGAACTAAATTTTACTCGAGTATGAGACTTTCCTCAACTCCCAGGAGCTTCTATATTGCCTTAAAGAAACTTGAAGCAAAAATGAATGAGATGCAGGTCTGGTTGGTAGCGACCCAGTAATGGGGCCAAAGGAAGGATGCAGGCAGACATGAGAACTTCCGCGGCTAAGCTGGCCTCCTGGTTCTCCATAAATCACACCACGGAGATTACTATACCACACAGAGGTGTAGCTGCTCCTGCAGTCAAAAAGACAAACCTCACCTTGCTTCAGAAGCCAGGCAGCTACACCTATGTTCTGCCCGGTTACCCAACAGGAGGGTCTAGGCTCCGGGTCAGCACCAGCTGGGCTCTGAAACCCCTCCCTGTTTCGTTAGCAGCTTTAAGATGCCACCAACAGAGGGCGTAGTGAGCTGGAAGGACTGTTTCATCTAGCTTGAGTGGCTTAGTTAACGTGTGTGGGCCTCAGTATCGACAAATTAAAAAAAAAATCAAACAAGTAGATCGAATCCAGGTTCGTCAAATGCCCGTGGGAGGAAATTGTTTAATTACCCAGAAGCCTCCGAGAGACTGGAGAAACTCAGCCATGAGTTCACTCTGCTTGACCCTGAAGTGGTGAGAATCACTAGCCACCTCAGGACCCAGGAAGTGGGTAATGCTGTGCAGGGAACAATGGCCGTAAAGCTGATACACAGTGATTGGAATCTTCACTTGTCATTACGTTCCAGGTGGTCTTGAACAAGTAGCTAAGTGCTCCACTTCCTCCCGTGCTTTGGTTGGTTTGTAAAGTTCCACTTGTTTTCTTGCGTGTTTGTTCACGTGTGTGCATGTGGAGCGGGAATGCCCATGCGTACTTGTGCACATGTGCGTACCAGCCAGAGGTCAACGTTGGTTTCTTGTCTCAGGTATCATCTCCCTTGCTCTGTGAGACGGGGTCTCTCGCTGTCCTGTAACCTATCGAATAGTCTACATGGGACGCAGAGGGCCCCGGGAATCTGCCTGTCTCCACCTCCCCACAGCTTAGATTTCAAGTATGTGCTACCATGCCTAGCTTTTTTCAGATGGTCCTGAGGATGAACCCGGGGTCCTTGTGCTCGCATGCCAAACACCTTACTGTCTGAGCCCTGAACCCCTTACTTCCTTTGAGACGGGCTGTTAGAAGGCAAGAGAGACCAGGTATGGCTGTGTCACATGCTGTTGGTAGGTCCACACCCTGAATCCTTGGTCATCAAATCCCAGTGTGTTCGGCTATCTTGGTCTTCCATGTGACCATGCATATGACAGGGTGTGTTCTGAGATGGCTAAGGTAGGGCTAAGCTAACAGTGGTTGCTCTATTCCTTCTGTCAATGGTAGGTGGTAGAAGGAAATGCAATGCTATTCTGATCACCCTGTGGTAGGTGTCTTTGGGGTGTTGGGGAAAGGTCTCCTTGGTTGTTTTTTGTTTTATATGATTTGTTAAACTTTATTTTATGTGCATTGGTGTGAAGGTATGAGATCCCTTTGAACAGGAGTTACAGGCAATTGTGAGCTATAATGTGGGTGATAGGAATTGAACCCAGGTCCTCTGTGAGAGCAGCTGGTTCTCTTAACCACTGAGTCTTTTCTCCAGTCCCAGGTCTCGTTTTTTTTTTTTTTTGTTTTTTTTTTTGTTTTTTTTTTTATAAAAGAGGCACAAGAAAGAAATGAGATCCACTTCCGCAGTTATGGTCCTATCTGAGTAAGACACAGAGCAGCTGCTCTGGACATCTTGTCACCATTAAAAGACACACTTGAACGCTGAGCCGACTCTGCAGAGAGCAGAGCAAAGACATGGGGAAAACCTGGGTCTTTGATAATGTCTCTAAGCCACTCACTCAACCTGAAGATGGCATATATTACTTTTCCTGTTTCTGTGACAAAATATCTGACCCCCCCCCAAAAAATACAAGTTCAGGAAATAAGGGTTTATTTTGGATCATGAATTGAGTGTTCAGGTCATTGTGGTAAATGAACTGCATCATGGCGGAAGCATGAATAGCTTGGTCACATTGAGAGAGAGACAGAGAGAAAGAGACAGTGACACACCAAGAGTTAGTGTGTGTGTGTGTGTGTGTGTGTGTGTGGTGAGAGAGAGAGAGGGAGGGAGGGAGGGAGGGAGGGAGGGAGGGAGGGAGAGATTAATTTTTCCCATTTTCCTTTTTTATTCATTACAGGACCCAGCACACAGGACGGAGCCATCTACACTCACAATGCAATTTCCCACCCCAACTAAGCCTCTCTGTTACCCCCTTAATTGTCTCCTAGTTAATTTGCAAACAGCCAAGAAATCAAGATTAATATCCCATGCTCTATCTCTGCAATTTCCACAAGAAATCATGCATGTGTTTATTGCTAAAGATAGTGGAGTCAGTGTGTTGTGCTGTTTTCTGTCTATCAAAACCTTCATGAATATACCCTAGTGGGCCTCTAACATACTGATGTCTGTTTATGCAACATATATATATGGATATATATGCATATGTTATGTATATGTATGCATACACATTGGTGACAGCTACACATAAATATATACCTATCTCCTATTTATAGTGGAACATAGAACAATTATGTAGACCAAATGTTTCAAACTTTTTGTTTCCATGGGAAAGATTTCACAAATGACCAGGAATCCAGAGGGGTTTGTCACACTGGGATCAACAAGCTCCACTCTGTGATCTGTGAAAGGACACAGAATGTGTGAGGCTGAGCTTCAGGTCATTTCCCTTCACTGATGCTCAGCACTGGGTACCACACATGCTGTGTGCGTGCAGCAAATGATGATCATCTCAAAGACATAAAAAACCACACCCCTGGTGTGTCGCTGCTCCTGTAGAGGCTGTACTGCAAGCATTTTTCTAAATGCTTGCATGGCACCTTCCAGAGCTCACTACAAGCATGGCTCACCATACCACGGGTGAAGCAACTGCAAAAGCTAACGGGGAAGTCACAAGTACACTGCTTCTCTTTTTCCTTAAGTGAAATGGAGACATGTTGGCTGAACAGAGTGTTCCATTTTCTAAATAGAATGCTTTGTTTGGCCAGGCCAGATAGGACTTAAAGACCGGTATTCAATTGCATCTAAAAGGAAGAGAAATGGAAATCTAAGCATTAAAATGGCACAGTACTCAACTGAACACAGTGGATTTTTCTTCTTCTATGATCTACTTACTCTCACTATTCTCTTTGATTTGATGGCAGATGTCTTCAAAAATTACTGAAAATGCTGTGGGATTGTATTTAAGTTTTGGATTTGGAAGGTGGACAGCTGTTCCTGGCAAGAATCTGGTAATGTCATAGGGATGCCTTAATGGATGCTTGCCTCTCAGTAAAGAGAGAGCCTGCTGTTGGTCTTGGAGTATGGTGAATGCCTAATAAATATTGTTTTTTTTAAAGATTATTTTTATTTGTGTATGGGAGGGTTTCTGGTGAATGCAGGAAGAGGACGCTGGATCTTTTGGAACTGGGGTTCCATCTAGGTGACTGCATGCAGGTGGGTTTTGGGAACTGAACTCTGGTCCCCTAAAAAAGCAAGAAGTAAATTTAGTCACTCCTCATCCCCCAAAATATACTTTTAAAAAAGACCCATGATATCCTGTTTGATATATCAAGAACCTGAGCATCTCCCAAAGGTGGAGTCTGGTATTCTATAGACAGCTGAGATGGAATTTATATAGTAAACTACCAGGGTAACTGTGTTCATTGAGGTTTCTCAATGAACACAACATGGCAAAAATGACTGGTGTCTGTGAGGACCTGCTGAGATCCATCATCTCTCCACACATGAAATGGGAACAGTCTTATAAAAGCCATGCTACCTGGAGGTTATTGGTTCTGCTCCTAGCTCCCTAGCTTTTGAGTTGCATAGCCCGAGGCAAGATTCACAATCTGTATATTACACTTTCTTTGTTAGCAAGATGATGATAATAGTGATGACTTATAGGTGGAGTTTTCCCGTCCCAATGGATTGACTGCTCCCAAAAAACAGGCAGCCATTTCCCAAATCACTGACTCAAAGACAATATAAATTATAAATGCTTGGCCAATAGCTCAATCTTGTTACTAACTAGCTCTTACAACTCAATCCGTTTCTATTAATCTACATGCTGCCCCGAGGCTTATACCTTTTACCTCTATCCTATTTTGTGTGCCTGACTTGTTCTCCATCTGGCTGGCAACTCCTCTGACCACCCTTTCTCCTCCCATCATTTTCAGTTTGGCTTTCCCACCTAACTTTATCCTGCTAAGCTATTGACCAGTCAACTTGTTTATTAAAGCAATCATAGCAACATCTACTCACAGAGGGAACAGAAGGGTTATTCCACAGCAACGACTGATACAGAAGTCAGGAGGAATGGTGGTGATAATTCATGGAAAATACTTTGCCAAAGCATCTGGAATATCTGTCCTTAATAGGATTACCCAGGAAAGGAAGGAAGGGAGAGAGGGAGGGAGGGAATGAGAGAAGGGAAGGAAGGCAGAGAAGGAGGAAGAGAGGGAGAGAAGGAAGGAGCCATAGATTTTGAATCCATTCCATGATACTCTTAGCCCCGTTCTGTGTGGCCAGTTCATGGCTTACCCTCATGGGAGCTTGACCAGCCTGGTGTCTTGGTTCTCTGGGACGCCTCTACTCTTGTGCCTAACTCACTGTGTGCAGGTTTCTATCTATCTCAGAAATGAAGATCACAGAGGCATGGCTAATCCTCATCTTTTTACCTCCAATCCATTGCTCAGCTCTTGGCACATAGTAGCACTTACCAAACATTTGTAAAATGAGTCAGCGAGTGAGTGAATAAAGACTCTTGCCTTGGGCCAGACCTGCTTTCTGTAAGATGATAAATGATTGACAGGGAGGCCACTGGCAGTTCCTAAGACAAATTTGGATGAAGCCACTACAGAAAACCTTCTCTGGGGGCTGAAGGCTAGGGGTTCCCATGGCTGCTCCTGCTGCCAGATGGAAACCACATGAGCGGCAATTTACATTGTGTTCTTCCAACATGGAGAGAATCAAGACAGGCTGGCTCCTGCCATCTTAGGAGCGATGCAGCCCCAACACACTGGCTACTGTTCTTTCTAGAGAGTAGCGAGGTCCCACCCCCCACCCCCACCCCCACATATCAACAAACAGCTACAGAGTCAAATTAGTACTGTTTACTGTCAAATTAAGATGGAAAGTGATCCTTTCTGTTCTTTGTTTATGACATCTGCAATGCCCATCCCAGACTCCAGGACTCTCTAAATGCAAGTGGACGGCTTCTGATGGTGGGTGCTGGGCTAGATCAAACCGAACCCAGATTTTGTTTGTCTTCTACAATAAACTATCTTTTCAGGTTCACGGGCGCAGAATCACAGCTATCATGTTTCACCAGCTGTTTTTTATTCCTCTGCTAATTTTACAGTTCAGGCTTTGAGAAGGAGGGCTCTGTCTTTGTTCTGCTTCTATGGTGCTGGTTCCGTGCCAGGGAAGCAGAATATTGCAAGAAGCTTGGGAAGCCAAGACAGAGGGGTGGGGTGTGTTTGTGATGTGAATGCATGGATAGCAGTGTTCTGAAAACTCATTGTGAGATAAATAGTGTTTATTGTCAAAGCCTTCACATTAACTAAATAATTGGTTTCTTTAACCCTGCTTCTATTGCCAAGTATTAATTTCCCTCCCCATCATCCCACTATTTGCATGTTTCATAAACAGACCTTGAATATATCCCTCTAAGCTCCTCTTGGAGTGTTGAGCAAGACAGAACTTGGTCACATGTCATTAAAAACCATATGCACCTGTACTGACATGATTCTCCAGTCATTACATGGAGACATGGATATACAACTTGCTTGTAAATTAGTAAAACACATTGCTAAATTCTGCTGCTGACATTTTCCCAATCTTGTTCATCAGCCTGTTATGGGAAAGAGTGTTGCCCAGTCATTTCCATCATGTGGAGAGCTACAACTGGAGACACGCTGTTAGCAGAGTTTGTGCAATAGATTCTGTAATCCCTAAGGGGGTGGGCTTGCCTTCTCATCCACTCATCCTTTTGTAAGAAGATACTACCTACCATTGGAAAGATGAAGGTAAGAAGATGGGTAGGAAGAGATGGCCCCTAAGCACAAGAGTGAAGGACTGATGAGAAGGAGAACCTCAGAGGTTACAATCAAGACAGTAGTCCCCACAGGTCCCAAGCCTTCAAAAGCAAACACTTCTCGAACTCAGAAGGGCTAGCAATCTTCCCACTGGCTAGAGCAAGATGGAACTGAAGAGTCACAAGGATTTTTTCTAGAAGAAAGGTAAGTTTGGGGCAAATGCTTAAATGTAGAAGTTGCCAAAGGAGCTCAGACAATAGCAGATGGGCACAGGGATGAAACACAGTCCATGGAAATCACGGGAAACTGACAGGAAGACTGAAGGCGCCTATGAGCAGCAGCTAATGAACATGACCATGTTTGAATGAGCTATGGAGAGCCGCAGTTCCGAGTAGGAAAGTGACTTGATTATTATGTTTAGGAAGTTTGTACAGCCACTTATGGTTTGTCAATCTCAAATGGAATAATCTGAGCAGAGCTTCACACACCACATGCCCTAATGTCATCCCATGTGGATCCTTCTAAACATTCTTTAGTCTTCTAATCTCTCTTTGTTCACCTGGACTCATCACATGTTAGTCCAAAGTTGGATCCCAACGTGATTATTTTTTGCTGCTTTATTTGGTGTGTTTATGGGAGATGGGAGCTGTGTACACACCACAGCACATGCATGGAGGTCAGAGGACAACTTACAACAGTTGGTTCTATTCTTCAGTCATATATGGCCTGGGAATCAAGCTCAGGTTGTGAGTTTTATAGTCAATCTTGCTGGCCCCGTTTTCTGTTCTTTTTCTAAAATAACATAGAGTCACACACCACTTAAAGATGTGAATGTGTTCTGCAAAATTCATTCTTAGGTGGTGTTGATGCTTCTATAAACTAACACAGCCATGGCATCAATAAGAGTTGTTAGTACAGTTTACCATTCACTAAAATGATGCCATATGGCATATGACCATATCTGTGTTAGACCTAGTTATTAAATAACAATGGCTAATTCAGACACATTTCTACAAATTGAAAGGAATTTCAAGATGAAGGCTTCAATTTGATATCAATTAAAATCAAACAGCAGAACATAAAGCTATTAAGCACTTATCCTTTAATGGACTCATTTGATCTTTTAAATATGATAAGCTTGAAAGGTGGTTTACCTTCCATATAACAATGTGATCACCACTACCACTATCTTCACCATCACCACCACCATCATCACCACCATCGTCATTTATTGTGATGCTGTGGATAGAACCAGGACATCATGAATGCTAGTCAACCACTCTACCACTGCGCTACATTCTAAGTTCTCAATAGGTTTGGGGGCATAAATTCTTTTTGATGTATGCATAGTCCAGGCCAAGAATAAAATTTCTAATCCTTCTGTAACGGCCAGATGAGGACTCAAACTAGGCCTTTCATAACCTTATTCGGCTTTACTGTAAGAATTGATTGCTATGGGGGGTCTGGATTTCTTTCGTTCTTCCAACATTTCCTAAGTATATGTTATATTATTGCCAAGAACTTTGGTGGGCAGATCTGTTCCTGCTTTCATCAATGGATTTTCATTGAAATGCCAAAAAAGTAGAAACATTCTCACCAATTCAGAACAACGGAAAAACCTGGGCATAAGACTGGACTCAGATGATAATGATTCTGGGACTTTGGTCAAGCTCTTGGACCTTCCAGAGGCTGGGGTTTAAGAAACAGAATTCCCCTGAAGTCTCTTAGCTCTGCGTCAGAAGCAGGACATCCAGAGTTTCCTACACTATAGTGTGCAGAAATTTTCTTGAGATTCCTACCCCAGCCTCTCTGCTCTACAGGCCTGAAAGAGTCTTTAAGTGAATGACACCTGCTGGCCCTTCTCACTGATGCTAATTGGAGTTACTCTTACACCTAATGGGTTAAGCCATCTGTTCTAGGACACTATGAATGTGAACCCAGTCTACTTTAACTTGACATTGTTTACTTTGAATCATTTCCTCTGTAAAAATGACTTTTGGGGAACTGAGCTCAGTGAGTCTAGCAGGTGTCACACAAGGATGACGACCTGTGTTTGAGTCCCTCAAATCCTCATATAAAAATCTGGGAATGGTGATATATACTTGGTCCAGCCCAGCCTCGAACTCACAGAGATCCGCCTGCCTCTGCCTCCCGAGTGCTGGGATAAAAGGCGTGCGCCACCACCGCCATATACTTGGAATCTGAGTGCTGATGATGGAGAGACAGGGGTATCCTGAGGTCTAGCTGACCAACTGGTCTACCTACTTTACAAGTTCAAGGCCAGGGAGAGAGCTTGTCTTAAATATAAATATAATAGTAGTAGTATTAAACTACTTTTGGAGTTGGGGAGGGATCAGTTAGGTGTAAAGCCTCTCTCTCTCTCTCTCTGTGTGTGTGTGTGTGTGTGTGTGTGTGTGTGTTTCCTCTCCTCTCTCCTTTTTTTTCCACATCTCCCTTCTCAAATCCAGGAAATCTGACCCAAAATGGCATCTTGAGGAAAGACACACATGGGAAAGATGGATGGCTTCAAGTTGATTTGATTCCCAGGGAAAACTCAAAGGGCACAAGTCAGTGAGTTCTCAAAGATGTCCACTAACCCTGTCCACACCCTGCTCCTCCCGGTGGTGGCTCGCTGGAAGCTGGAGCTGGTTTTCAGTCCTCTCCCCTGCTACTAACGGGTTCCAAATGCCAGGCAGCCATAGTGACCCTCCAGCATGGTCCCTCAATAATGAGTCCACCAGCACTCATATTCTAGGATGCTAATGAGCACAGGGAAAGAAACTGAAAACCAGCTCCTGGGGAAAAAAATGGAATAATTTTGACAATTCCTGTTCTTTATTTCACAATTACTGGAACTATTTAGAACATATTTCCATGTTGAGGTCTAATTACAGAATTTTCTAATTTTATTTTTTTGTTGTTGTTGCTATTTGAATCCAACTTGTTTTGGTCATTCCCTCAGATGGAAACTTTTAGTACTCGATGTGATTATTTTTGTATGAGCGCCTTTAAAAAAGAGAGATTTCAAGGCAGTTCCTCTGCCTCAGTGTGGACTTTCCTGAAATTTACAGGGAAATAAAACATCGAGTCACTTTGAATTTAGGTCAAACCAAATTTTAATATCCAAAGAATTTAATCAGAAGGCTGGAGTCTGCATTACTGCTTTAAGATACCGGGTTTTGGCATGTTTTCTATTCTGTTATGAAGACCCCTACCTATCTCAGGACTAATGCAGTACATATTAACATTCAAGACTCAGGAAATCTCATTTGGGTTCCCATTTAACTCTAACAACCCTGGCATGTGTAAGATAAAGAAATCCATGTTTCATGTGCAGGCCCAAAGATCATACAAGATTCGTTTCCCAAGCTCAGGGTGATTTGAGAGTTATCAAATTGCTCAACACATTCCAAAAGCAAATAGGAAAACATCTCATTAATTCCGACTTCTCTGATTTAGAATCCATTCATCTTGCAAATCTAAGCAACTGGCAGCATGTCCTATGTTTAAATAATATTTTGGGTTCTTGAGAGGACATTGCTGGTGCTGGAGAGATGGTCCAGTGGTTATGAACACTGGCTGCACTCCAGAAAGATCTGAGTTTGCTTCCACCATCCACTTGGGCAGCTCACAACCATCTGAAACTTCAGTTCCTGGGACCCAATGCCTTCTCTCACCTCCGAGGTCACCTGCACACATGTGGCATTCATTTGCAAGCACATAGACATATACACATAAATAATGTATTTAAATCCTTTGAAAAAGAAGACATTGTTTGGGGATAAGGAAATGGCTCTGTGAGTAAGAGTATTTATGCCAGCATGAAGACCTGATTTCACATCCCCAACAGCCAGGTGAAATGCCAGGCATGACTGAAGATAATACCTGTCATCCCAACACTGTAGTGGAAAGAGATGGGAGGAAACAGGATGCTTGGAAGCCATCCTGTCTGGCAGATAATAGCTTCCAGTTTAGTGAGATACCCAGGCACAAGGCAATAAGGCACAGAGAGACAGAGAAAGATACTCGGTATCCTCCTCTGGCCTCCGCATGTGTGTACACCAGCTCACAGAGCCACACACGCGTGTGCATGCACCATACACCATAAACACATGTACACAGACAATAAGAAGAGAAGGTATTGTTATAAGTGTACTAAAAATATTTGGAAGTAGGTGGCTGAAGAGATAGCTCAGTGGTTAAAGGTGCTTGGTGTTCTTCCTTGGGACCTAAGTTCAGTTCCCTGTATCCTTTGGGCATCTCACAACCACCTATAACTTCAGCTCCAAGAGGGATCTGATGCTCTCTTCTGACCTCCTCCAGCAACCCCCCACCAAATCTGTGAAACAAATATCTTTTGCATTTACAAATCAAAGGGAATAAATACAAAAGCTGGTAAAAAAAAATCCCCAAAGCCGACACAGTGGCTCCTCTTTGTCAGGTCCTCATCTGTGACACTGGCTAAGGTTGAAGATTCTTCTCAAACATTCTGCAACTCCAGCTTTTCCCCCTCTGGGTATGCTGGCACCAAGCTTGATGGGAATTCTTAGGATGGCTGGTGTTTGGTATGCCACAGTGGAAAATGGGATGTGTTTGATCGTGAGGCAAAACTTGTGTTTTGTGACTCACCCCTGTAAGGATGAAAGCCTTCACGGTGGGAGGGGTTCTGGAGGTGCGTCTGGGTAAACACGGAAGGAAAGCATGTCATCAAAGAATTGATCCCAAGTCAGTTCTTCAAAGGTCCTCTGGTGCAGTGTGCAGCTGGAGTGTGCAAGCCAGAGCCCCGGGGTGGGCTTTTCTTACTGTCCTGCTGTTTACTTTATGAAAAGAACACAGCTGGTTCGCAGCCCGTCTTACTCTTCCTCAGACGCGCCTATGCTGACTCAGCCCATTAGGCTCACATAGTCACTGAACTACTTGTTTAGGATGCATGGAAAACATGCCTACAGAATTGTTCACGTTCCCTCATCTCAGTGGTGGCAACCCCACACAGGTTTCATTACTGGGAAGGTCCAGGGCATTTATCTCCTGACCCATGTTTTTTTTTTTTTTTTTTAAGCCCGAGTGTTCAGTTCATCCCCTGCCTGTGCTTTCTGGTAAATCAGGAGTAGATGGGTAATTTAGGAAAAACAGGCTGGGAGTTCACCAAAGCAACTTGGGTTCTCTCCCAACCGAGCTCGAGAGCCCCAGGCCACAGTAACCCGACTCTTCCCCAACATGCTCATCACGGATCCTGGAAGCTGTTTTCTTTCTGGGTTGTGATTTTTTTTCAATAAGATCCTGGGTAACCATGGGGTGGGGATGGGACATAGGCAGGGACAAACGAGGAGAGAGAAATCCTAGCCTTTCCAAACCAGACGTTTCTCACAGTCATCCACACAGTAACCTCAAGGCAGGTCACCACTACTTAAGGATTGGCTATGGTACTGTGGCAAGTGCCGAAAGTCAATTTTTGACTAACAAACCAATTAGCCAATGACTATAGCCACTTCCCTGCCCCTTCCTAAATTTCTTAAACATGTGTTTCTTGTAATCCACCTCTTCTGCCACATAGACCCAAGTGACAGACCATGAACTCCAAAGGGCCAGTGCCCCGTGACAAACCACTAAGCAACTAACCATGCTGTCCCAACTGCCAGAGGGTAGGAGGGAGAGATAAACCAAATTTGGTAAAAGGAAAAAAACCAAAAAACAACTTCTGCTTGTACAAGCCCTGTGGTGTGTTTCAAAAAGTGGGGATAACACTTATTTTTCAAATATTCTGAGATAGATGACGATTAAAAGGAAGGCTGTCTTCCAGAGAACAGTAGCTTGATGTTGGTGGAGTAGCGACTGTCCACATGCCCTGGTCCTGTCCCTGTCAGGGCAGAGATGAAAATCAGTTTCCAGAGGGTACTGTTGGGTAACTAAGCACACAAGGAGGCTGATAATTACACCAGAGGGTTCATTTATTAAGTTACTGCGGACACTAGATCATTCCGGAAGCTGCTACACCCTGTCTTTCTAGCTCCAATCAGAAAGACACCTGAGAAGCCATCTCAAGGATCTGAAGACCATCGGCTACCAGAAGACCATTGGCTCTTTACACAAGAGATGGCCTCCAGACACCCCAGTCAAAATGTCTCTTCCTTCATCAAGTTTGAAGGACTCGACACACTTGTATCTTGCTGCAACCCCAAGTTGCCAACTGAGGAATTCTCATTTTCTTTTCCTTTTTTCTTTTCTTTTTTCTCCTTTCCTCTCCTCTCCTCTGCTCTGTTCTTTTCTTTTCTTGATTCTTTGGGAATTTCAGGAAGTATATCTCTGTGTAGACATCCACTGGAGTGCAGTCGACCTCCCAGGGATCATACTTCTAAAGAAAGCTAACTCTTCCTCTTCCTACAGCCATCAACTACCAATAACTCTTTGACTGTGGGTGGGAGATGCTCACCATTCCACACTGGGATTTTGTCTGCCATGAGGTGGCTCAGGTCTTGTGCACACGGGTCACAGTCACTATGAATTCATTTGTGCATCTGCTGGGTCATGTCTGGAAAAAAATGTTTCCTTGGAGTTATCTACGATCAGTGCTCTTAAAATCTTTCTTCCCCTTTCTTCGACAATGATTCCTGAGCCCTTGGGACCATGAACATTCTTCATTCTCTCATTTATGGCCGTTCTGCAAGATGAAACCCACACCTGGTACTGTTGTTCAAGCCAAGAATCTGCATCTAGGCAGTTTCAGGCCCTAAAGTATTTTTGCAGGTTTTAAATTTTATTTAATGTTTGTGTGTGCATGTGTGTTGTGTGTGTAGAGTATGCATATATATGTTACGTTTTGTGTGTGAATGTGAGGTGTGTGTGTACGTGTATTGTGTGTATACATGTGTTGTGTGTACATGTGTTGTGTGTGTATGTGTATGTATGTGAGGTCTGTGTGTTGTGTGTGTATGTGAGGCGTGTGTATACATGTGTTGTGTGTATATGTATGTATAGTGAGATATGTGTTGTGTGTATGTATGTGTTATATATGTATGTGAGGTGTGTGTGTGTGTGTGTTTATAAAGATTTCAAACTGGCCAGAAGAGGGCATTAGGTCTGGAGCTAGTATTACAGACAGTTGTAAGCCGCCATGTAGGTGCTGGGAACTAAACTCTGGGCCTCTGGGAGAGGAGCCAGTGCTCTCAACTACTGATCTATCTTTCTATCCTGTTAAGCATTATTTTCTATAGAGAGAGGGAAAAGGAGAATCCAGTCTTTCTCCTAGCATGAATGATCTTCCCCCTTCAGAATTTTGAGTTTGATGAGAACTAAATCTTCCACTTAGAAAAAAATGTATGAATATGAGGATGTGAAAATCTTCCACAGCGTAAGTTCTGGTTCCACACACTTGTAATCTGCTTCCCCCTTCATGACGCCAGTCCCAGGAACCTTAGACCACTGCCTGTTAAACTTCACCGTGGGAGTCATGAAGAATTTGTCAGTGCTAAGAGCTTTCTGAACATATAACAGCCAAAAATTACTTCAAAAACCAAACATTGTCGTAAGTCTATGAGGTCACCTACACTGCATTATGTGACTTCCGTACAACCTTGGTCTTGAACATGCAGCATGCACTTTGCAATAGCTCGAGATGAAACAACACTGCACAAGCCATCCTGCTACACATGATGAAGGAATGCTGCCTGAAATACTTGGGCCAGGTTTCAGGCTACTGTATACAATCAATTTTCATGTTTTTATAGTACACACCATGTTAATTGTTTAATTACAGGGGATATATAAGATAGTATTCTTCTGCCATCAATCATCAGAATGTATCAAGGTCGTGTTAACTTTGGGTTGTATTGTATCAGAATGCTTGATGTGAAACATTGCTGTTTGAATTCCTGACTTGCGTTAAACACAAAATCATTGCATGAATTTTAGCTTGAGAATAAGGAAAGAGTTCACAAGGACATGTAAAATGACCTTAAGCATGCCTCTGCCATGTTGCACTGTATATGTATGTCTAACAGCATTCTCAGCCTTGACAATAAAAATCAAATATTCAACAGCTCTGGACAATATTGAGGCGGTATCTGTGGTGTTAAATATTCAGCCAAGATTGAATGCTTCACATGAAAATGCACACACGCACGCACACACACACACACACACACACACACACACACACCACGCACTCATGCACGCACACATGCATCATCCAATCCAATACAGGTCTGGGATCCAAGGAGACCAGAGCTGCAGTGTGAACCTATAGAAAACACTTTGTACCGAAGTTCCTCAGCTCCAGGTGCAGGGTCATCCATTTCGTTATCATGCAAACTTGCTTTTTCTTTCACAAATAGTACAAATGCAGGTACACCAAAGAATTGTTCTAGAATAAAATCCTTTGTGACTTATTATCAATAAACACTTGGTTTGTTTACCTATTTGGTATACCTAATAGTATTCCAGGGTCATACAAAAATGTCTTAGATGTAAATGGCCACAAATGGAGAAAGTTTAAGAAATACTCCTTTGAACATGTTGGGAATGATTGATACGTTGGTCCTATAGCTCTGTACCATGGCGGGGACAAGTCCTCTCATGGGTGATGGGGGACTTCCTGCCATTCCTTCTCAGTCCCTCTATAGACCTGGTGGCAGACAATCCTAATATACTCCCATAAACCTGAACCAGTCAGTTGTCCTCTGTACAGATTCTCAGAATCCCCATGGCCATTCCATTCCCAGGGCGACTCCAAGGCTGTCTGATGGGAACGGAGATGCAGTGGAGGAGATGTTGAGAAAAAGACGGAAGACTTATCTGACTCTGCTAAAATAGTGTTTTGTACTATGGCCTCCATTTAGCACCAGGGGCCTCACAGGCAGTCTGGAGGGAGCAGGCAGAAGCTCCAGTGCCACCAGCTTGGGAGGAATCCAGGCTGTAAATCTAGAAAGACCAGACCTGCTGGCAAAGCTGAACATTGTCCCTCCAATGAGGCAGATTACCTGATGTCTGGACCGAGGGACTGATCTTAGCGTTGTAGCTATGGGGTGACAGTGGGGGTGGTCTCACCTAATCCTTAAAAATGAGTCCATATGTGGCTGGATTTGCCTGATGAAGTGGAGAGGAAGGCGAGGAACCAAATGCAGCAAACATCTATATCCAAGAGTTGATTAGCATCTCTGGGGAAGGAAGGAGAGTCCAATGTCAGTGTGGGAAGCAAGGCAATGGGGAAGATAGCATCCTCTTCTTCCCTCCCTCCCTCCATCCCTTCTTCCCTCCCTCCCTCCTTCCAACCCTTCTTTCCTCCCTCCCTCCCTTCCTCCTTCCCTCCCTCCCTCCCTTCCTCCCTCTCTTTCTCCCTTCCTCCCTCCTCCCTCCTTCCCAGTCACTCTGTCTCTGTCTCTCTCACACACACGCACACGTACACACACATGCACTCATAAGTACACACACCCCAGCCGACCTGATATATAGAGAGAAGTGTGAACCAGGAGAAGACACACTTTCTTCTGTATTTTGATCAGCCACAGGCACAAGTGTCAACAACCAACCAAGCCCCTAGCAGCCAAGGTGTGTACCCAGGAGGTGGTGTCTCCTTCATATCTGAATAGAACAGAGACTGGTTCTGGCAGCTCTTAGAGGCCAGCAGTTCTCTGGAAACATGGCCCTGAAAAGGGACCCAGGGTCCAGGGGCCAAGGTTGGAAGAGGCAACCCAGGAAGGACTAGGATAGGATAGGACATCACATAGTGACTATAGCCAGTACACGTCATACAGCTTTCCACCGCTGGAGGACTTGGGGCCACAGATGAGTGGGTAAAATTATGTTACTACCATCAAGGCTGGAAGACTCAGGTGCATTTTGGGGACATCAGTGACAGCTCATTTGTTAGACCCCCGCCCACGAAGAGTTAGGGATCTGAGTTGCAGGAAACATGTTCATGATAACCCCCTCCAGACCCAATGTTTACAGGTGACAAGGCCAGGATGGAATGAAGCTGCACTTATTTGCTAAACATCCTGAGTTCCCATGATGCACCAGGTACCTCTAAGAGCTGAGCAGGGAGGCTAGAGGGCCGAAGGGGCTGGAACTGGCCGTTTCACTGAGCTGGCATGTGTACTGCATGGGACACATCACAATGAATTTCACTGAGCTGGCATGTGTACTGCATGGGACACATCACAATGAATTTCAAGGCTCTGGACTCTGGAACAAAAGTGAGCTGGCCTTGAACCCACAAGAACATAGGTGAAGAGCTCTGCCCTCCCTTGGCTGGTGTGTTGGCCTAGTCCTGTAAAATGAGACTCACAGTAAGACTCACTCAGGGTTAGCCTGGGCACTAACATGCAAATGGTCCGCAGGAATTAAGTGTCTAAGTTTCTCGGTCATTTCTGTTCCTGGGTAGATGGTCCCTCTGGAAGTCATGCCAAGTCACAAAGAATTGTAGAAAGAAATGAATCAGCTGCAGCAGGGACGGGCAGGAGGCAGTGTGGTGGCCCCAGGGGCGATGATGCCTGCTGAGCTCACCTGAGAGGCCTCAGCAGCCTGGATCTCCAGAAGTGGCAACGGACACACAGGTGACAGGTGTGCACGCAGCACCTTCAGGAGACTCAGAGAAACTAGAAGAGGGGGCCTCCGGAGGATGACTGGGGCTCCCATCGTCACAAGTGGAACCATGGCTGGAGGGCTTTGCTGAACTGTGTTCCTCCCTCCAGGCTGGAGGCAGGGGAATCACTACCATCGCTGGGTGAGGCGATGGCACTGAGGGGATCCCACAGGTTGAATAGAAGTTTGCAGCTTGTTGTCTTTCTGTCTGAGCGTCTGCACCTGAATCTACTGATGTTTTAACCACGGTCTATACTCCAGCAGCCTGCCGTCAGCACCCTGCTGCTCAGGTCTGGCAGGGTTTCCATTCCCGGTGGTTCCAGCCTGACCACAGCTGCCAAACGTAGGTTGTAAATAAGTCACTATCGTTCTATTTACCAATAAAAACTCAGAAGACAGGTGTTGGAGTGAAAACCCACTAGATAGAGAAACTGAGAAGCAACACGCTGAACTTCCTTTTGGGCCAGAGACCAAGCAAGAGAAGTGTCTCTCCCCTTGTCCCAAACCCAAAAAGATGGTGAATCTCTAAGTCCCTCCCTGCTCCTTCCTGTACATCTCTATCCACGTTCCAGGGAATTCTTACCAACTAGTCACAGCTTCTGCCCCCTGATCCAAGGGTAATTTTATCAACACAGCCTCAGAGTTTCACAGTGTGATCAAATACCCTTCAGGCAGGACAAAGCCACCAGTTCAGGAAGCCATCACTCCTGTGTGGGAAGAATGAAGGAAAGGGGAACAAAGCTTTGAAGTTATGCTGGCACTAAAGCCTGGCTCCACTCCATTCTGCAAGCTTGGGAGATGCAGCAGAACTCGTGGACCATAACTAGAAAGCACTTGGGACAACCAGGTACCCATTTCCTAACCCTGTCATACAGCAGCATGGGAAGTAGACTGTGCATTCTGGAGACCCGAGGGTGGGATGTGTAAGATAACCAGCAAAGGCTGCCTATGTGGCCTTCTTTGCACTATTGCAGGAGGGAATAGCTTTCTTCATTCAGTGTCCCCTGTGGAACTGGAAGACCCCGATGACTTCTCACTGGCAAGCATCCTGTGGGAGCCCCTCAGTTCTTCCAATCCGGAACACACAGAGCAGATCAGAGTGTGGGCATTCTAGCAGTCTCAGAGACTAAAGCAGCGCTCAGGCTAGAGAGGAAAGACAGTGCACTGCAAACACATTTCCAGTCTCTCGCATAGCATAGAAAGCTGGCACGATTGGGCACTGAGCCCCAAGCCAGGTGTGTCCAGGCAAGATGATGGCAGGCCCTGGGTATGTATCTGAAATCAAAATCATTTTGTCTGTTAGATGGGAAACTAGAAGAAACCACGAGCTGGGATTTTTGTCTCTTCTTGGAAAGGATTTATTCTTAGCAGAAGGACATGGAGATGATGGGTTTAATGTTTTTGCTGGGTGAATGGGTCCCCAAACTCCCCTCACTCATGAACCCCTCAGAATATATCCATCCTGCCAGGGCAATCTCAGATCTCAGTTCTCCTGTCTCCACCAAGAGCAACATCTGGGAGCAGGTACAGGACCATGTACAGGATGCTGAGCATCCCGGTACTCACTGGGCTCTATAGTGCTTCATATCCTCATGAGGACTGTCCGTTATTGACACCTGACATGAATCTTCTCTAAGGCTTTAACGGCAAACAATGGGGCAAGCTTCAGGCATGAGTCAGCCTCTGTCCAGCACTGTCACCCCAGTCTTCCTATGGCACTGTAGCTGCCCTGTGTGGGTCAGGCCTTAAGAGATTACAGTGTTTCTTCATTTGGTGCACGATGACCTGGCTTCTCACCGTAAGATCATATGAGGTCCAACTGCTTTGTCATTACTCCCGTAACATCAGACACTATGCTGAATCCAAAATACTTACAGAAAGGGGCAAAGACGGCCTGTTTCATCTCCCCGGATTCTGTCTCCACTTTTCAGCCCATACATTTAACAGCAGAGTGAGAGGCAGTGGAGTTCATAGACACTTGAAACCTCCAGGCTGCCTTCCTGTCCCTGGTGCCCAGCTAGTGCTACAGGAAGATCTCTTTTAAGGGTACCATTTTATGACATCATGTGTTCTAAACTTATTGCATCATGATTTTTATTCTATTTTCCCTTCCAAGGTAAATCATGACTAACAAATCCCACAGCTTGGATTCATAGGCTGACACTGGTTAAGAATCACCTAGCCCCATTCCCTCATGAGAAACGTGGGCCTTAGAGGAAATTCTACCGAAGTAGTGTTGGTTCCTGATTCTGAAAACTAAGCATTACGCTTGCAGGAAAAAGCATCTCTTTGTAACCCTTGGATGTAGCAGTGTCTTGCCTGTGAACCTATAACGGTGGCCACACCCCTTTGGGTGTGGCTTCAGGCGAATGGAAGCAGGGAAGCTTGAGGCTTGGCTTCTCTTGCATGCAGTCTCTCTCTTGGGTCAGTTGATCAGGAAGGGCAGGGATGTGCTCTCGCGGTTCTTATTATTGTAAGTTCTTCCCCAATAAACTCCCATTTATCATTTATCTTGGGTCTAGGGAAATCTTTACACCTTTACCTTCACTTGGAGACCACACTGGTTGAAATTTTGCAAACAAATGATCATGGGGTTCTCTGCCCTACCAATTACATCCATAACATAGCACCATCGTAAAAGAGCAAGAAGAACAATTGGAAGAGCCCAGAGACCAGGAAATGTGCTGTGAGTGAGATTGTTTTTTCTAAAAACATCAGGGAAGCTTCAACGGTGATGTTCCAACAATATGGCTGCCTATACAAAACCCAAACAACTACATCACCAACGAATGTGCTAATATGGAAGGGGGAAATCTCATGAGACCCACCCCTAAATAAAGAACTACAGGCAACTAAGGAATGCTGAGTGGAAGAGAAATCGTCTTCCCCATGGATGAGCCCCTAGTTGATTATCCAATACCAAGTAGCCAGCCCTGAAATCAAATATACACAAACTCAGTGGTTGTAACACTAACAAAGAAAAGGGAGGGGGCCATGAATTGTAGAGGGAGCATGAAGGGGGACACATGGGAGGGGCTGGAAGAAGAGAAAGGGAAAAATAATGCTACTTTTTTTTTTTTTTTTGGTTTTTCGAGACAGGGTTTCTCTGTGGCTTTGGAGGTAATCTTGGAACTAGCTCTTGTAGACCAGGCTGGCCTCGAACTCACAGAGATCCTCCTGCCTCTGCCTCCCGAGTGCTGGGACTAAAGGCGTGCGCCACCAACACCCAGCAATGCTACTCTATTTTAATGTGTTAGAGATTAGAAAGGTGTCAGCAGCAGGAGAAAGAGACCCTACTGGGATGGGACTTCATAATCTGGTTTCCCACAAGGACTGAGCGGTTCTGACCTGAGCAAAGTTAGCATTGCCTGCCAGGGTTGCCTCCTTGTGCCTACCCAGGGCCTCCGGTTGTTTTGATCCTGTAGTCTGCAAAGCAGGTCTCAGGGTGCAACAGTGAGAAACTCTTTCAAAATGTTTCAAGTGCATCGCTCCTCCCCTTCCTCTCCCACCCACTTGTACTTCCTTCCCAAGCTTTGTGACAGGTACATTTGTCAAGTGCATCAGTCCAGCTGGGACTATTCTTTTCTTCTCTATCCATTCATACACTGTTTTTCATTTATTTTGCATACCGACTGTAGTGTGTCCTTCATCCTCTGCTCCCCGCCACCCCCCCATTCATATACTGTTTATGTTTTTGCAGTGCAGGAGGTCAGACTCAGGGCCCTGTATGTGGTCCACCACTGGGGACAGATGTGCTCAGGCCTGGTGTTCTTCCTTTATAATGCAAAGATGTAGGTACTATCTAGGAATTCATGAAGCTTGGAATGAGGATTTTCAATAAATTCTTTCAGCAGTCATAAGGATGACTAAGATGATATTATAATGTGTGCATAAAAAAACCACAGAAGATGAGAGACTGTGTGAGAACAGGAAAATCTGTGTGATGGCATGAGGGCCCAGGTATAGTTTGAGTTGAATTAATATAAGGAATAGATATAGAAGGTAACTGCCTAAGCTTGTGGCAGTAACTATCAGAAATGAAAACGGGCATGGTTAAGGAGGGTGTCCAGAGCTCAGAGCTGGAAGGAGAGATACTTGCCCTCTGGTACGCTGGATGCTTGCCTTCCTGATCAAAATAAATGGATGTTCTTGTCAAATATGATTTCCTATACACTGGAAGATATGTCAGATGGATATCATTCCTCCCATGTTATATGTAAAGAAACAGCAATTCGCCTTGGAGCACATATCCGTGATGAGAAGCCATGCCTGCTGGCCACCTGCTCCAAGCTTTTCTCTCTGGCCCAGGCTCCTACTCTGAGATGCATGTTGACCAGGCCTGGGGTTCTAGCTTCATTGGTGTGAATTTTGAGTCTCCTTTAGGACAGGGACAATGTGATGGGTACACCCATGGCCTGGAGCATACTAACTGCTTGAATGTGTCATTTAGCTTTCTTTATTTTTGACCTATTTAGAAGCCAGAATGCTAATGTCATTTGCTGTCTTGTCTCTCTTGTTTTTTCACAAATTATCACTGACTCTAAATTGACAGCAATTTATTCTACTGTGTGGGCTGGAACACATCAGAAGGCTTGACTTAATTTAGCAAAGTAGAGAATTTAAAACAATTTTAAGGACTCTGGAGATGGTTCCCTTGGCACAGTGATTACTATGCAAGCTCAAGGACCTGGGTTCAGATCCCGAAAACCCACATTAAGAAAAAACAAAGCAAGACAGGCATTGTGGCAAGCTGCTGTAATCCCAGCTCCAGATACCCAGAAATCAGAGGGTCCCTGGGGTTCACTAGCCAGCTAGTTTAGCTGAATAGGCGAGCTCTGGGTTCAGTGAGAGAGCCTGTCACAAAATGTACTGTAGAGAGAGATCAAGGAAGACATTTGATGTCAACCTCTGATGTCAACCTCTGGCCTCCACACCTATGTGCCTGCCCGCACATCTGTACAAAAAGCATCTGCAAGAAGACATTCTATGGACACTCCCGACCGATGTCCGTGCTGGTGAGGTGGGCATACAGTGAAGGAGTGCTGGGAGGACCGTGAGCTTCACCCACAACCCCACTCACCACACTGAGGTGTTACCCTTGGACCTTAGTCACTCCTTTGAAATTTGAAGAATTTGGGGTTTCCCTGGTACCCTATGAAAGTATAGGATCCCCAACTACCTCACAAGGGTGATTGTCCAAATTTGAAACATTCTGCTGGGACAAGACTTCTGAGGAAAGAGAGGTGGAGAGAGAAGATGGAGGGAAGCAGGGGATGGAAGGGGAAGGCACCAGAGATGGTTGCAACAGCTCCGTGGGGTTCTCTCGCTGCTCTAACCCAGCAGCAGAATGCCCTCCCACAGACACTGAGGATAATCAAGAATGCCCATGAGCCTGGTAGGCGCTGTGCTGATGCTTAGCGGCAATGATGCATGTAGTCCTTGAAACAACCCGTCAGGTGTCATTTGGCAGATGGAAAAATGGAGGCACCGAGAGGCCAAGTGTCATGCAGCTGGGTGATAGAGCCTGGACATTGGGCTAGATGACTAGACTCTAACAGAAGGCTCTGTGTCACAAGGCTAGAGCACACACACGCGCGCGCGAGCGCGCGCACACACACACACACACACGCACACACACAGACAGACAGAGAGACAGAGAGATAGAGAGGGAGTATTGTGGAAGGGACTTTTGGAAAATTCGACTGCC